GTAAATGAAAAATGTCCAATGAGCTGTGACAGTCTGTATGCAAAAAGACTTTTCATAACATATTCACATTCAAAACCATAACAGTATATACATACATTATATACAAGCATTCAGGTTAGGGACCAAATCTCTACCATAACAGTATAGTACAAGTCTCATACAGTCTATACAAAACAAAAACAGAAAGGGGGAATCTAAAACACCCCCAAGCAGTCTTAGCTTGGCAGCACTTGGAACCTCGCAGTGAGGCACGTTGGTTGGCTTGACAAAAAAGAAATTTAAACCCCACGCTCCTAGCTCCGATCTGGTGCCTGGACACCTACATATATATATATATAAACAGTAAGTTAAAGCACAGTGAATAACATATGCGTAAAGAGGTTAGGAATGAATGTCCTTTCAGTATTTAAAACAGTCACTTGAATAGTACATCAGTTATTTGATCATAGCAGTCATAAATGGTACATCCAATAGCAAACAGTACAGTAGGTCTTAACAGACCGAACAGTCAGTTGATGGCCATCATATCAGTAAACAGTAGTGGTTCCAAACATGGGAACCGATAGAGATCTCTGTGACAGTAGCAGTACAGTACAGTAACAGTAAATTGCTATGGATGCCACGAATACAGTTCGCAAATAGAACAAACATTCATTCATTAAACAATAACGTTTCAAACAATAGCGTTTCAGTAAGCAGAACAGTTGATCATTCAGAAAATATTCATGATTGAATATATCTTTACAACATTATTACTCACAGAGTTCTGGGTTACAGATAGGCTAGTGAGCGTCCTCGGATGCCAACCCTACACAGTTACAGAATGAACACACACTAAGTTACACACTTGGGAATCAATGACTTAGTCCCTATCTTGACTTTGTGTGGTTCTACATCAATATCCCCATTAAGATGCCTTAAACTAGGCCTAGAAATGCCTAGGATGAAATGAGGATGCAAAGATGTACTTTAAACACTTTTCAAAATTTTCAGAAAACAAGGGTCTCGCTCGAGCGTGGCTTTCTACACTCGAACGGACATGCAGACAAAGGAGCTCTGCTCGAGCGGACTGCAAAAGTACTGGATGCATGAAATTCACGTTCGACGGGCGCTCGACCCCCACTCGTGCATGAGACACAAGTCCTCGCTCGAGCATGCATTCCCTCGCTTGAGCGGACTGCAAACACATGCAAAGTATTGAATATACGCATTTCACGCTCGAGCGGACTGCATGAACTCAGAGTGTACACTCGAGCGTGAAGTTCCTCGCTTGAGCGTGGATCCAAAATCTGGAATTTCCAGATTTGTCTCCAAGCATAAAACTTAACATTTAAAGCATCAAATTCGATCCTTTTAGGCTAATTTTCTGGAAAACACTTTAAAACTCATAATATGACATGTTTCAAAGATCAATTTGAAAAATCAACGCCCAAAAGTAGTTCAATTAAAACACAATTTCAACAAAACTTCATGAACATGATGAACATGCAACATGCATGTGTTCAAATGAAATCAAAGCTTCCAATACATGATCAAATGAGTCAATTCACTCAAAAACATGATGAATTCATGGACTATAACCCAAATATGGACATGCATGTGAGGATTCTATGAAAACAACCTCAAAATTCAAGAATGTAAACATGCATGCATGATTCAAGTTCACTATTCTACATTTTAAGCCATAACTTGGCTCTAGACTTCAACATTCTTCTAAACCATGCAAGAACCAACTCAATTCATAAACAAGAAGGTAAAACCTCTACCTTAAGTCTTTAAGTTCAAGAATTGAAGCTCAAATGTGCAATCTACACTTCAATTCCTCTAAATTTCCAAGCAATTCTTGATGAAACCAAAGCTCTCCTATTACCGAAGGCCTGCTTAACAGTAAAACAATAATACAGAGTCCAGGGGCTGGCGAAAGCCAAAACAGTAAATGAAAAATGTCCAATGAGCTGTGACAGTCTGTATGCAAAAAGACTTTTCATAACATATTCACATTCAAAACCATAACAGTATATATATACATTATATACAAGCATTCAGGTTAGGGACCAAATCTCTACCATAACAGTATAGTACAAGTCTCATACAGTCTATACAAAACAAAAACAGAAAGGGGGAATCTAAAACACCCCCAAGCAGTCTTAGCTTGGCAGCACTTGGAACCTCGCAGTGAGGCATGTTGGTTGGCTTGACAAAAAAGAAGTTTAAACCCCACGCTCCTAGCTCCGATCTGGTGCCTGGACACCTACATATATATATAAACAGTAAGCTAAAGCACAATGAATAACATATGCGTAAAGAGGTTAGGAATGAATGTCCTTTCAGTATTTAAAACAGTCACTTGAACAGTACATCAGTTATTTGATCATAGCAGTCATAAATGGTACATCCAATAGCAAACAGTACAGTAGGTCTTAACAGACCGAACATTCAGTTGATGGCCATCATATCAGTAAACAGTAGTGGTTCCAAACATGGGAACCGATAGAGATCTCTGTGACAGTAGCAGTACAGTACAGTAATAGTAAATTGCTATGGATGCCACAAATACAGTTCGCAAATAGGACAAGTATTCATTCAGTAAGAAATGTCATTTCAAAAAGCAGTACAGTTGATCATTCAGAAAATATTCATGATTGAATATATCTTTACAACATTATTACTCACAGAGTTCTAGGTTACAGATAGGCTAATGAGCGTCCTCGGATGCCAACCCTACACAGTTACAGAATGAACACACACTAAGTTATACACTTGGGAATCAATGACTTAGTCCCTATCTTGACTTGGTGTGGTTCTACATCAATATCCCCATTAAGATGCCTTAAACTAGGCCTAGAAATGCCTAGGATGAAATGAGCATGCAAAGATGTACTTTAAAACACTTTTCAAAATTTTCAGAAAACAAGGGTCTCGCTCGAGCGTGGCTTTCTACACTCGAGCGGACATGCAGACAAAGGAGCTCTGCTCGAGCGGACTGTAAAAGTACTGGATGCATGAAATTCACGTTCGACGGGCGCTCGACCCCCGCTCGTGCATGAGACACAAGTCCTCGCTCGAGCATGCATTCCTTCGCTTGAGCGGACTGCAAACACATGCAAAGTACTGGATACACGCATTTCACGCTCGAGCGGACTGCATGAACTCAGAGTGTACACTCGAGCGTGAAGTTCCGCGTTCGAGCGTGGATCCAAAATCTGGAATTTCCAGATTTGTCTCCAAGTATAAAACTCAACATTTAAAGCATCAAATTCGATCCTTTTAGGCCAATTTTCTGGAAAACACTTTAAAACTCATAATATGACATGTTTCAAAGATCAATTTGCAAAATCAAGGCCCAAAGGTAGTTCAATTAAAACACAATTTCAACAAAACTTTATGAACATGATGAACATGCAACATGCATGTGTTCAAATGAAATCAAAGCTTCCAATACATGATCAAATGAGTCAATTCACTCAAAAACATGATGAATTCATGGACTATAACCCAAATATGGACATGCATGCGAGAATTCTATGAAAACAACCTCAAAATTCAAGAATGTAAACATGCATGCATGATTCAAGTTCACTATTCTACATTTTAAGCCATAACTTGGCTCTAGACTTCAACATTCTTCTAAACCATGCAAGAACCAACTCAATTCATAAAAAAGAAGGTAAAAGCTCTACCTTAAGTCTTTAAGTTCAAGAATTGAAGCTCAAATGTGCAATCTACACTTCAATTCCTCTAAATTTCCAAGCAATTCTTGATGAAACCAAAGCTCTCCTAACTCTCTCTTTCTTTAGTCGGTTTGGTCTCTCAAAGATGAACAAAACATGTAACCAACACATGTAAATCAAGACTAAACAATTAGTCTAGCAAAGTCCACTTAATGGCATTTTGGTAAATAAGCCAACTAATGTAATTTAACATTATTTAATCCAATTTAATCATACCAAGTCAAATTTCAATTAAACATATCATAAAATCACATAAATTCTAATTAGCATAAAACACTAATCAGTTTCGGATTCGGCCGCCGATAAGACCGTCAATTTGCAGTTTAAAACATAAAATATGAACAGATCAATTAACAGTCAAACAAATAGAATTGCGCTTAAACTACTACACTCAATCAATCAGTTCAGAATGTCAGTCAAATCAGTTACTTAATCATGTTCAGTCACAGTTTAGCAGTGATCAGTAGTATTATCAGTAAACAGTGGTAAGAGTTGTCACATTCACCGCCTGTAACTAAAACTCAAAAATAACTTGTTCAGAACTTAAAAATTTTCTCCATTAGAACAGAAAAAGAGAAGTGTATAACAAAAAAATGTAAAAAAAAAAAAAAAGATTAAAGAGGAGAGGTGAATATAGAGAAGGATTGTACTCCAACAACTATTTTTTGTTTAGATCTAGCCAGATTTGATGTAGATCTACTTAGATCTGATTTAAATCTACACAGCACCAAAAAAATTTGAAACTGTAAAATTTTACAGTTTTCACCGCTTATAACTAAAACTCGAAAACAACTTGTTCAAAACATAAAAATTTTCTCCATTAGAACAGAAAAAAGAGAAGTGTATAACAGAGAAAATGTAAAAAAAATAAGAGATCGAAGGAGAGAGACGAATATAGAGAGAGGATTGTACTCCGGCAACTATTTTTTGTTTAGATCTAGCCGGATCTAATGTAGATCTACTCAGATCTGATGTAAATCTACTCATCTTCTTCGTCGGAAACATATCTTCTTTATTGTTAGTGAGAGTGAAGTAAGTAGTCGGCAGTCGGTGGTTGCCGTTGAATCCCAATCGATGGTAGTCGTCGGTCGCCAGTGACTACATATCGGGAAAGAGAAAGAGAAAAAGCAAGATATGGTTACCCATCAACGATCGCCGAAAAACACAAAGAGCAAAAGAGACAAAGAAGAAGAGAGGTAGAGAAGAAAAATAATAACGTTAGCAAAAAATTATTAAATAGACTATATGTTTTTCAAACAAGACTTCTTGCTAATTTCCCCCACAATTAATAGCAAAATTTCAGGACTCAATCAGGAAGTACAGTACAATGGAAGGGCTAAGCAGCCTCACTCCTCCCCTTCCTGCTAAAACCCACCTAAAACCTCCTCTATCTCTGCAGCTTCACTCTCCTCCACCTCCAAATCCTCTCCACAACAACCTCAATTTCATAACCAAATCATCAACAACACTGTGCTTTCCTCTCCAATCCAAACATGAAAAGAAACAGTTCAAATCTCCACCCAGAAAACGCAAACCATTCAAGGAATCAGATGCATTTCCAATGTCTCTTCCAATCCACACCAAAAACCCAAATGCTATTTGCAAAGACATTCAAAGATTAGCCAGGCAAGACAAGGTCGATGAGGCCCTCTCAATCTTGGACTACTTGGACAAACAAGGCATCCCTGTTAACCCCACCACATTCTCTACCCTCATCGCTGCTTGTATTCGTCTGAAAGTTCTGACCCAAGGAAGACAAATTCATACCCATATTAGGATCAATGGGCTTGAAAACAATGAGTTTTTATGCACCAAGCTTGTTCATATGTACACGGCTTGTGGGTCCATTGAAGATGCACGAAGGGTGTTCGATGAAATTCCCAGCACGAGTGTGTACCCCTGGAATGCATTGCTTAGAGGCAATGTGGTGTCTGGTAAAAGACAATATCGTGAATTGCTTGCTACTTTTTTGAGAATGCGAGAGTTGGGGATTGAATTGAATGTGTATAGTTTTTCTTGTTTGATCAAGAGTTTTGCAGGTGCTTCCGCGTTTGGCCAAGGTCTAAAGACACATGCCCTTTTGGTGAAGAATGGGTTGTCGAACAGTTCCATCCTGCAGACGAGTTTGATTGACATGTATTTCAAATGTGGCAAGATAAAGCTTGGCCGCCGCCTGTTTGAGGAAATTAATGAGAGAGATATTGTGGTTTGGGGTGCAATGATTGCGGGTTTTGCGCATAATAGGCTTCAAAGGGAAGCAATTGAGTATGTGAGGTGGATGAGGAGGGAAGGGATAGAACCGAATTCGGTGATACTGACTACGATTCTTCCAGTGATTGGAGAAGTGGGGGCTCAAAAACTTGGTCGGGAGGTTCATGCTTATGTTGTCAAGACAAAGAGTTATTCGAAGCAGTTGTTTATTCAGTCTGCTTTGATTGATATGTACTGCAAGTGTGGGGACTTGGGTTCGGGCAGAAAGGTTTTCTATAGCTCGATGGAGAGGAATGCTATTTCTTGGACTGCATTGATGTCCGGTTATGTCTCAAATGGAAGGCTTGAGCAAGCTTTGAGGTCAATTGTGTGGATGCAGCAAGAAGGGTTCAAGCCTGATGTTGTCACGATCGCTACTGTTCTTCCAGTTTGTGCACAATTGAAGGCTTTGAGGCAAGGAAAAGAGGTTCATGGTTTTGCTGTAAAGAACGGTTTTTTGCCCTGTGTATCTGTTGTTACTTCCCTAATGATGATGTACTCGAAATGTGGTGTCTTGGAATATTCTTCTAGACTATTTGAACATATGGAAAAGAAAAATGTGATTGCTTGGACTGCCATGATTGATTCATACATAGCAAGTGGGTGCGTGCACGAAGCTCTTGGTGTATTTAGGTCTATGCAGTTGTCATCCAAGCACCGGCCAGACTCGGTTGCAATGGCGAGGATGTTAAGTGTTTGTGGGGAACATAGAGCGTTGAAGCTAAGGAAAGAGATTCATGCATGGACAGGTCTTGAAGAAATCTTTTGAGTCAATCCCATTTGTGTCTGCAGAAATTGTGAAGATGTATGGTGTTTGCGGAGCAGATGACAAAGCAAAATTATTTTTTGATGCGATCTCTGTCAAGGGATCAATGACATGGACAGCCATCATTGAGGCTTATGGATGTTATAATGACCGTTATGAAGATGCGATTAATCTTTTTAAAGAGATGAAATCTCGTGGTTTCTCTCCAAATCATTATACTTTTAAAGTGGTTCTATGTATTTGTGAGAGGGGTGGAGCTGGATATGCAGATGAAGCTTGCGAAATATTCAATTTAATGACTCGAAGATATGATATTAAACCATCCGAAGAACATTACTCTAGCATCATTGGACTTCTTACTCGTGTGGGTCGCGTTGAGGCTTCTCAAAGATATATTCATATGAGATCATCCCAGCTGACACTGACATCACAAAAAGAGAAATTGGATCATCTGGTTATTGCACATCAATCTCAGCCTTGAGCTTCCATCGGCTGCTAACTCATATGTAAGCTATGTTGTAAGTTTATCTATGTATCATAGTCATTTTTCTGTAAATTAAGGAATTTATCTCTAATAAAAAAAGACATTTATAGGGTGATCCTGAAATTTGTCTATGTGAAATTTTGATGAGTTCCATGATTTGGTTGCAGTATATTGTTTAATTTTCAAGGGTCATGCTGATAGTGGAATCTGTATATATTTAGTTGCGAATTAAGATCTTTGAAACTCTGTTTCATAATTTTAGACTTCTATTCTATGCTTTATAGTTTATAATTTCATGATATTTCTTTTAGTGCTCCCACAATAAATTCAAGTTCAATTTCTTTCAGGTTAATCAATACTTTGTTGCTTCCATTTTACTTCGCTTTTTTTTATTTATTTATATATATATATATATATATATATATTATTTTTAAAGATTTTCTATATAGTAAGTTTTGAGACTCTCTCATCCAGATCCATCAATGTTGATATGGATGGATGGACCCATGAGACTGACTTTTTCTTTTTCTTCTTTTTTGTTTTTGACAAGTCCATGAGACTGATATATCTTATATTTTTATCTTATTAGTATGATTATATCACTAATATTCTGCATTTTCATTCTAATAAGACTTGTACTAGGGTTAAAACAATAGGAGCTTCTGAATCTCTAACAAGATGAATAAAATGCATGGTGAATTGATGGAGTGTACCTAACAAAGCTAGAGGGTAGACCTATGAAGCACGGTTATGGATACGAGTACGAGTACTTGTACAATACGGATACATTGATATAGTAAAATTCAAAAAAAATAAGGTACGGGTATGGCTTGGTACGTTTGTAAAAAAAAATTATTTTTAATTTAGATAATGTAAAAATTAATTAAATGATTTAATTTGTTAAGGTCCAACCTACAATTAACATTTAATGTCAAAAGTAAAGGTATAAATCAAAATTAAATGTCAATATATTAAATAACTTACAAGTCATAGTTTAATTTTAAAATCATGCTAAGCATAAAATAAAAAATAAAAAGAAAGTCTAATGAAAGGAGTTTTAAGAAAAAAATATTGTTTCAACGGAGGTACGGTATGGTACGGTACAACTTGGGTATGTGTAGACGTCCCTGAACGTCCCGGGAGGAACGAGTCCCCCGTTCCGTTCGATATTGGGCTCACTACAGTTCAGGACTCTAAAATTGTCACGGTTCTAAGTCTGAACCAAAGAGTCCAAATCCGGCAAATCGTTTTGAGAAAACACCATGTAGATCTGAAAAGGTGGGGAAGAGGAGTACAATCATCTTCTGCATCAATTTTGGTTGGAGGTTGCGCACAATCATCCTGATTTGGTCCTTATCAGTGGGCCTCAAAGTCA